CGAATCTTCAACCCAGACCAAGGTGGGTTTAGCCCAGAGTCTCTTCAGCCCTCGCTCAGTCTTGCCCACTCCCCACTCAGGCCCAGGCCCTTCTGGGAGGCAAGCACTGGGCTGCTCTCTGCTGCTCCAGAGCTCATACGCTGTGGGGAGGGTGAAACCACAGGTGCTCATGCACACGTGGGGACGCAGAGGAGTCCTCGGATACCCGTTGTGTGTGTGTGAGCAAGGCCATGTCCTGAGACGTCCATCCTGCCCTATTGCTTACCCTCCTGGAGACCTTGAGTAAGCAAGTCGCCCTTCACCCCAGGTCCCCAGTCTGTTGGATCGAGTGGGGCATGGCGGCTCCTCCCAGGGTGTCTTGAGGGTTCAATGAAGGGATGCATATGGCTGTCACTGCGTGCATTTTGAATATTCAGTACAAAGTGTTGACTGATATTACCATCACTGTCACTCATACGGCTGCGGAGACTCTCAGAGGTCCAGAGGGATGTGTGGCTAGGAATACACGCTTAGACACCCTCAGGCAGACTGAGTATGGAGAAGGCAGCCAGACCCAAGACACTCACCTTCATCCACCCTCAAGACGGGCCGGTGCACACTCACGTGTGCTAAGCAAAGTGTTTTCTCAGTCCTCTCTGACTTCAGGCAGCTACGGGAACTCAGGAGTGGAAGAGCTGGGGGTGTGTGAGCTGGGGGTGTGTCCCCTGAGACTCCTGGGCTGCAGACTCTGGCTTGAGGACAGGCGTGGGATGGCACTCCCTGCGAGGAAGGACAGTCTGCAGCAGTGTCTTGAGCTCAGTTTGGGCATATCTGTGTGTGAGTCTCTGGGGGCCACATCCAGGGCCCCCAGACCATTCTGGGAGTGTGTGGGGGTGGCCAAGCTCTGTGACACAGGATGTAGGAACATGGAGCAGGGGAGAGAAGGCAGTGTCCTGCCTGAAGCCCTGAGCTCTAACGTCCCCGTCTTTGTGTCTACAGAAAGCTGGTTTCTGGCCATTGTTCACACTGGCCCTCTACCCCAGACACTGCCCCCAGCCCACCCCGTGGGTGTCAGGGAAGGCCGGGTAGCAAGCTAAGGGCAACCACTGAGGCTGGGTAGAGATTGCTGGTGGGGCTGGCTCCAGGCAGGTGCTTTTCTGAGAAGCACCCACTCACCACTGAGCCCTAGGCTGGGCGTTGGTGTGAGGAGGTGGAGGGTGGGAGCTCCTGACGGGCTTCGAGGGGTGTGAGTCGTGTGTGGCCACCCACCGGTTCCTGCGACCCGGCCTCTGCCTCGCAGATTCCTTTGCGGCCCAAGGCTTAAACTGATGTCTTAGAATTGGAGAGTTTCCAAGCTTCTCTCCAGCACTGAGCCCTACCTGCCGCAGTCCCCTATCGTAAGTGGCAAAAGGCAGATTTGCTTTCAAACCTCAAACTCTAACAATGTTGCCTCTGCCCTGGAAGGGGAGGTAGCAGAAGGAGACAGTCACGTGTGTTGGAGTCCCAGCTGCCTCCCCCAGCCCTGCTCCCATCCCAAGACCAGAGATGCTAGGCCTTTTTTTCTTTTTTAGGTTTTTTGTTTGGTTTGGTTTCTTTTTTAAAGGTTTTTGCCATTTTTTTTTTCTCTCTAAGGTTTTTACATGTGTATTTGCTAGAGAGAGAGAGTGAGAAAGGGAGTGAGACACTACCCCCCAGGAGGTATGGCTACACAGCAGTCCCTTCTCCTCCATCCTCTTCTTGGAAATTTGAGCACGCACACACATACACCCCTGGCATGATTTTTAAGCCACCAGGTCCAGGACTGAAACTAGTTGGCTGAGTGGGAGTCCAGCACCTTAACCGCTTTACAACCTGCCGGCTCCCAAGATGGTGGGTCTCATCTACAGCGCCCCCACCTTGCCTCACCCACAGACCTCTGGGGCCTGTCAGACACACCTCCCATAGGCCAGGAGGGTGGTGTTGAACTCTCCCACCCTGAGGGCATGGGAACTGGCAGACTGAGGGCAGGCTAAGGAGCAATCTTGGGGGTGTGTGTGCGACTGAGCAGGTGCTAGAGTGAGAGAGGCGTGATGAGACAGTGGGCAGAGTGACAGCCCGTGATTCACCGCATTGCTAACTCCTCCTAAAGAGCCGCCTTCATTTCCTCCATTTGTCCCTTTCATTCAGTCCTTCACTGAAAGTTTCTTGAACATCTACTCTGGGCCAGGCCAAGACTGCTTCTTTTCAACCACCACAACAAAAGGCGG